GGCACAAAGATATACTATGAATTATGAGTAGAGCTATATGCATTTGCACAAGTCTCCAAAAAGGATTTGTTTATCTAGGGTAGAATTAACGTTTATTTTATAACTCAGTATTATCTTATATGAATTATATATAATTTGTAGTAATCATAGTGCAAAAAATAGACTTATGAATAACAAGGTGTTTTTATTATTTTTTTAAAGACCTAAAAAAAATACCTACAGCAGAACCACAGAGAAAAGATCAGTGTATTAGAAGGAACAGGCCAGATGGCTGGTTGCAACGAGTCCCATAATGCCCTTGTGAAATTTATCACCATTCAGAGTATGAGTTTCTGCATTATCAGCCTGAGAGTTTGATTGCCTCTTGAAGCAATCACTTTTGGGTCAGGCTTGCAAAGAACTAAAGTACCTATAGGTGATCAACAGAATGAAAAATCAGTGAACGGGGACCACTCCATTATATGTCCAAAATGTTAGTCTGTCTCCCTTGTACCCATTGCCTCCTTCTAACCTGATAAAGACTAAAGAAGCTGAGTAATAAATGTGGGTTGTTGTGAGGGGTGTAATACCCGAACCAAAGGGGAGTCTGAGGAATCCCCTAAGAAGTGACTTGTTTAGTTACTGGAACATAAGATCCTGATTCACGCTGGAAACTTTTGATTCCTGGATTTTCTCTTCTTTCTATTTTTCTGGATTTTCTATTCTCGAAGCTAATAATAATCAAACCATGTTCCACAGAACTCTAGAGCTCTAGAGTTTTTTTAGTGGATAATTTTCAAGAACACCAATTCTCTTTTTTAAAAAATTAATAACTGCTAGCATCTTGCCATTCCTTTCCGTTTAAAATAAAATTTTGAGCCAAAGAAACAGTACAGCAGATTAGATGCATGCCTTGCACACAGCTGACTCAAATTTAATCACTGATACCATGTATAGTCCCCTGATTACTGCCAAGAGGGACCCTTGATCATAGAGTCAGGAGTAAACCCTCTGCACAACGAAGTGTTTTCCCTAAACCACCTCCAAAATTTCAAGCTCTTGAATCACATCCTAGTTCTGTCTGCTTTTAAAAATATTGTTTCCAAATAAAATTTTTATGCTCAGTAAAATGCCATTTATTTTTATTGATTTATCATTGGTTTACGTTATAGAATTTTAGGGCCATTTTTTGTCACCTGTATATATGTGGATTCACTGCACCCATCACAAAGTTCCAATGCCATCCAACCATCAAAAAGACCCTCAGTGATTCCTTCCACCTGGTTGAACTTTCACTCTGGTATCTATCATAGATTTTAACAAATTTAGTTTATTTTGTTTGTTTGCTTTATTAGTATATATTCCAGATTTGAGTTATAAACCACTTGGTAATGGTATTTCTCTTTGTTAAACACTTGGCACATTCACTTTACATTCCATCCACTTTGTCCTAAATGTCTTGTCTTTTTAATATCAGAGTCATATTCTATTAAGAATATATATATGTATATATATTCTACAAATTCTTTATCCAGTCATTTGTCCATAGATAATTATTTCCATGTTTGGCTAATGTAAGTTATGCTGCAATTCATGATTACCATTTTAAACTAGTGGGTTTTTTTGTCTTTTTTATGAAAGCCTGCAAGGAATATTATTGATTTATATGGTATTTCACTTTTAATTTTTTAAAGGAATCTCAATACTGTTTTCTGTAGGTTTCCTTTAGAAGCTGTACCAAGTAGATTAACACCAGCAATGTCAGAATTCTTTCTCTACATCTGTGACAATACTCATTGTTTCCAGTCTTCTATATAGAGATTATTTTCATTGAACTGAGAAAATTCTTTGTAGCTTTGCTTTGCATTTTCCTAATATTAAGTGATGCAGATAATTTCTTCATGCATAATTTCTTCCTCAGGTCCACCTGGGAAACATATATTCAGATCTTTTGCATATTTGTAAATTGGGTTGTTTGCTTTTTTTGTTGTGAGCTGGCATGATTTTTTAAAATATATTTTGGATATTTGTCTCATGTCAGATATATATCTAAATATCTTCTCCAAATTGCTAGGTTGCCATTTTGTTTCTATTATCACTTATTTTGCTATATGGAGGCTTTTAAATTTTACATTGCCCAGTTGATTATTCTTGCCTTTGTTTCTTTTGTTTGTAGACTTGACTTGAAGTACATCTCTGATACTAAAGTCCTGGGGTAAATTGTCTATGTGTCCTCATACATGTTTTGCGATTTCAAGTCTAGAATGAACACTGAAGTGTTCAGGTTCACTGACGCACTGCTGATAGGCACAGAGGTCCTGGGGGTCAGCAGAAATTGTACCCAGTGGTACTCACTGGCAATAGGGAACCACTGGGGATCAAACTTAGGACCGCAGAAGTACAAGGCATGAGTTGAGATACTTTTTATATATGCTATTAAATAGTGATTTGGTTCCATTTTTGCATGTGGCAATCTAGTTTTCCTAGCACCATTTGAAGATACTTCTTCCTCCATAATATGGATCAGGTTTCTTTGTCATAAAGTATTATTTTCTATGATTGCTTAAGAAATGTTCAAATTTTGTCCATCTGTGTTTCTTCTTTGAGAAGTTTATATTCCTCTCTTCTCCCCAGTTTTTGGATGCATTGATTGTTTCTTTCTTCCTGGTAAGCTTTACAAATGCTCGGAATGCAGTTCTCTTTCTATTTCTTATTTACCTAGTGCCCTCCTCTCATTATCCCAGTATAATTTCCTTTAGTTTCAAAGTTTATTTTTCATGTGTATCTCCAGCAAGGAAAGCAATGTTTGGTTTTATGTAATATTTCTGTCAAAAGCCCAGAAATGAGATCATTGACTCTATAAGATCATTAATTTATTATTAAAAGTGTAGGTAGACAGTATGTTACATGTATGTTCTTAATATAATTAGGACACACACCTGAAAAGGAAACACATCCTCCCACCAAACTACCTAGAGTGCTAGCCAAGGGGGTAATAAGAAATCTATATATTATAGGGAGGCTTATATGTCAGATTAGGGACCTTGGATTTATAACAATTGACCAAAAGGAGATTGTGTATTTTAAATAAGAGTGAGATTGCAAAGCCATTATTTTAAGAAATGTTAGAACAATTATATTTTTTCAAAAAAAGGAAGACATTGTTTAAAAGTCTATGACATTTGTTCATTAAACCAATAAAGCTATTAAGTGATGAATGTGACCAGTATATCAAAAAAATTCACAGGGCTCATCAAGATAGTAAGAATGAAATTTGCAGTGGAACTTAAAATACATCCAGTGAAAATTCAGGTGATATGACAGCTTTCGCACTCAGGCAAAGATGAAATCCTTTATTATTTTTTTGTCGCTGTGAGTTATTTGAGGGCTACTTCCATCTCTATGTTTAGAAGTTGATCCCAGGGTTCTCAGGGGACCAATGTAGTACTGGGAAGCAAACCTGAGTCTCCAATATGCTGCTCAGCTCTTAGATTTATCTCTTTTAACCCCAAATCCTTTTTTTAAAAAAAATTTGCCTTATTACTAGACCCTCCTCTCCTGAATCTATTTCAGAGCTAGACTTTCCTTCTAATTTGTTGTTATTTCTCATGTCACAGTATTCAAAACATGCACAACTTTCCTATGAGTCAAAAAGAAGGCATGTTCCACCCTCAGGTTGTCCTTAGAGTGAAAACTTCCCTTCCATTGCAAGTTACGTTGCAGTATAAGAGATAGATAACATTACAATCATTCAGTACTTTTAAACAAATGTTTGTTAAACACTTTCACAGTCTACAATAATACTATTAGCAAGTACCAGAATACCCAAGCATTTAAACAAGTAGGATTCCAGAGAAGCAGTTAGTAGTGGTCATTCAGCAGTATATCAATAAGAGGATCTTTGTGTTTCTCTGGACTTTCATTGTGTATTAAATCATAGTGACAAGCCACTTCTCAACTTTTGAGTATCATTTCTACATTTAAGGCAAACAATAGAAGATAAAAGAGAAATATGTATCTTTTTATTTATCATAAAAGTAAAAAGTAAAGTAAAGGCCCTCCCGCTGATCATCGATTTGCTCGAGCGGGCCCAGTAACGTCTCCATTGGAGACTTTGTTGTTACTGTGTCTGGCATATCGAATACTCTCGGTAGCTTGCTGGGCTCTCCGAGAGGGGCGGAGGAATCGAACTCGGGTCGGCCATGTTGGCTGCGTGCAAGGCAGAAGCCCTACCCGCTGTACTATAAAGCAAATTTCTGCCTGTATTTCTTACTCATATTCTTCTTATAGTTTGTGGACCAAAATGAGGCCTAATAACTACTCTTAACAATAAAGGTAACTGTAAGAATGAATATCTAATTTCTCTTCTATATTTGTGAAACATAACTAGGAAAAAGAAAGTTGGGAATTGTTTTAGGTTGACCAAGTAGTGGGGTTTTACATATAAGTCTATTATTTTAACATATATATTTGGTTCCCTGAAAAGGGAATAGAAATGTAAATATATATGAAAGAACATTATTTTAATTTATATCTAATTATCTTGGAAAGAATGACCCAGATGAAAAAGAATATAGCAAATGTACCAGGTGATTCTATGGGGATTTAGTAAAAGTATCACATTCTGTCTTTTCAGGGATGTGATAGAGTCTTGTGTAAGGATTTATTTCCAAGAGACCTCATCAACCTTGACTTAGAAGAAATTCAGCACCAAAATGTAGCACCTGCATCTCAAAAATAAAATTAGCAATTATAGCCCTTGATGCAATGTTTAGAAAAAAATAGTCAATTAAAGTAAAATGAATTCAACCAGGATCCTCTGCAAGTAGCAACATCATGCAATTCTGACTTCACAATGACATGAAATTTTAAATGACAACTGTGCTAAATCAGGGAACAGCAAACTCAGGCCAAGGGTAAATTTAGTAACATGCTTGCTGGTTTACTGAAAATAACCTTCTCCATAGCAGATTCTCTATGAATTTCAGGTAACCCACAACTCGTTTTTCTATTCTGTTTAGAGATAATCAGGTATCCAGAGGCTTCAGCTTTGTGGTCTTCTCTTCTCCATGGCGTTTCTGAAGTTCCAACTCAGGAGTCAGTGCCTGTCTTGAACCACTTGGAAATTAAGCAGAGACGCCACTACATATATACTTCTTGAAAATTCCCATCATCTATTTTCAGAACTTTTGAATAAGCATAAGAGCTGATTGAAGGTAAGTGACTTTTGAAGTAATTCATATTATTGCATGACTCCACATCAAAAGTGGATATTTAATATATTTTGGTCAAGTAAAAGCAGTGCCTGAGTATAAAGAAATTAGTCTTCAGTTGACAGTGCCACCCCCAAAAAAGGCTAAATGTATAAATGCAAACTTTAAAAGTTGTTATATGTCATAATTATAAATACAAGCAAGGAAGAGTGGTAATTTTGGTATCTGAGAATCACTTTCACACAACAAAAGCAAGACTTTTGGTGGTCCTCAAATTTTAAAGTGTATATGAGTCACACGGGGAGGAGTGGAGAAAGAGGCCCTTTAAATGCTTGTTTTGGAACACATTTCAGAGATTTAGACTCACTAGGTCTGGGCTAGGGGCCAGCAATGTGCATTTTAAGTTACTAAAAATTAGTCTGGTGATCTGGAGAAGGAAGGTCTTGAGCTTTTGAGAAAAACTAAATTGGCATTTGAAATTATATGCTTCTAATTTTCAGACTTGACATTAAATTGGGTTGTGTGTTGTTTGTTACCTTCTGTCACATGAATAAATAAGGAAGGGAACATTTTTTCACCGAAACTGTTAAGTGAGTGCTCCCTCCCAACTCTCTCCAATTTTGTTACTTCTCTTTAAAATTCCTTTTGGAAGGTCAGTGTAACAAGCTAATTCTCAGGTGTCTTCATCTCTTAGAGTGATAGTCCTGTTCTTGTCTGTTTAGCTGTTTCTCTGTTCTGTATCATGTTTTAATTTATTGAGATCATTTTGTATATTGGGTATAATTCTAAGAAAGATCTAAATGAAAATTATGAGCTATTGCCAAAGTTGGCTAGCATTTTTACATTTTTATGACCTTTTCATACTCCATTTTGAAAAATTAGTCTTAGAATAAATCTACTTAATATATCTTTAATTACATTTTTATTTTGCAAGCAAAAATTATAGATCATGTAACTCAGTTTACATGTACATTTCATAAAACTATGTCTATGTATTTTCGTTTCTAGTAACTCATTTGGTAACTTCATCTTCATTATTTGTAATTTTAAGATTATAAAAGTTTTGCTTTATTAGTCCAATAAAAGTTATTTTTAGGGACATATAGATACCTTAAAGTGTGATTATTTCTTTGAGATTCAGTATGTTTATAGTAAAGGTGTAATTTGAAATTATAGTTCTTCATTTCAGACATGATATAGGGCTTTTAGATATTTCCTTCTCTTTAACAGTATTTGTATGCATTTGTTAATATTGTATGGAATTTCTTGTTTATAAAATATTAAAAGGTGGGCTGGAGAGACATCTTAAGAGGCTGATCACATGCTTTGTCTGGTGACAGTTCAGATTCTATCCTTGTCACTGGTAATTCATGATTCTCAAGCACTGCTGGGAGTGACCACCAAGCACAAAGCCGTGACCCAAAAGAAAAAAATAAAAATTGAAAGGCAAAAAGAAGCCATGAATGATAAAAAAAATTCCAATCAGGGATATTTGTTAGCTATTAATATTACTCAAAGAAAGAGGTGACTTAATAGTAAAAACAAATCTTAATATGCATAACTTATGATTAATAGAAATTAAAATTTTAGAAATTGGTCTAACTGTAATAATGAATAGCACATGCATTTGTCAGGGGCCAGAGAAATAGTACAGAAGGTAAAGTGCATGCCTTGCATGTGACTGACCCAGGTCAATCCCTGGCTCCCCATATGGTCCTCTAAGCACCAGCATTGATGTCTAAACACAGAACCAGGAATAAGCCCTGAGCACTGCCAGGTGTGGTCCTAAAACAAAACAAAAACAAATGTTATTTGCTATCAGAATTGTTCTTACTGCTAAAATTTTCATATACGTAGATAAAGTCCTAAAGTTTTTAGTAACTAAAATTATAAACTACTCAAATATATAGCACATGATTTTATGATGCAATAAACTCTCCAAGTGAAGTTTAATAGTTTTCAGTTCAGTATGTATATTCTCTGATACTTTTATTTCAGAGAGATATAGAGACTGTTCTGCTTTTTTCTCTTTTTGCAGAGGAGCAGGTGGAGAGAGAACAGAATTATGTTCTCAAGTGAGTCACATTCATTATCATTAGTGTATTTATCTTAAATTGTGGTTCCCTAAAGAAAACTTAAAATGAAGTTTCAGGGATCCTGAGTGAGACGGTCTATATACACAGGAAGTAAAATACAAAAGAATAAATTACAGAAACTTTATTAAGTCTCACAGAAGCATAAAAAAGTCTTAGAGCAGAAATGAACCATTGAAATCCACCCTGGACATCTCAAGTATAATAGTACTTTTTCTTCCAAACTTGCCATATAAGAGTTTAACACAAAGAGCAATCTAGTAAAGTATGACTTACTAGCAAGAAAAAGTAAGACTAAGCAGGTGTTTTTTCACTGAAATTTCTTTAGTAAGAAAGATAAGAGGAAGTTTTTCTTAAAGATGAAAAGAGGAAAAAATACCTGAGTCATTATATTTGTAGTTGAATTTCAATCATTAATCATCCTAGTTGTCAGTATATAATCTTTCGTATAATCTAGAAGTTAAAAAAGCAAATTTATGTTTATTTCAGCATGTTCAGCTTTGTCTGGAAATCTAATATTGAGAGGAAAAAGGACTGAAAAAAGATACAGCTTTAGAGCAGTAGAACCATCTGGGACCATTCAGTACAGGAGAAAGGAGATTTAAATATGTAAGAAATCTCTGGGGAGTATTAGTGTTATTATGAAACAGTATAATAATGATGTTTGTTAGATAGCAAAAGGATTAAAATGTGTTTATTATTCTCAATTTAAGAGTTGGGAAGTCATTAATATTTATGTATTAAAAGTACAATATTGATGTGGATAAATTTTCATAATATACTGTAAATGAAAATAAGTTACAAAGCCATATTATTAAGTTGTTTCATATTTTTAATTTTTTAAGCTAGATATACTTGAAATTAAAATTATATTCTCAAAAACATTATAACTAGTTATACTCAGTATGATTTATTCTTATTGCTTCTCAAAGGTTGTAAAAAATTTTACAAGATGTATTGTGATTATGAATTTATAGTAATTTAAAAAGTATTGAAAAATAGTTTTCTTGTAAAATCACTTTTATATAAATAGAAGATAATTTGCTAACCATTAAAATAAAAGGCTGCTACTTCTTATATTAGTAAGGTGATTTTTATAAGAATATTGGTTCTAATTAAAAACAATTACGTAGTCTTTATTTTTGCAATATTGCAGTAGATTAACATTCTCAAGTTTCTCTTCATTAAAAACTGATCATTTCAATGTATTAGTGTTGACTTATGGAAAATATTCTTTATTTTTGTATCAGATTATTCCAATATGCCTTTAAGAATTCACTACCGTAATAGTTTGCTCTATTTGGAAGATAATTTTATGTTTTGTTACATTACCGTTAATATGACTTTGTTCTTTAATTCTCCAGTGTAACATACGGCTAGTCTCACCATTATTACTACCAGCTGCGGTTGGCCTATGATTTTGTTCATTCTGTTTGAATCCAAAGTAATTAGCTCTTTAGTTTAATGACAATATTTGTTAATGGGATTTTAGGGCCAAATTCTGCTGTTACAGAGTGGGTGGTGTATTTGAAGATAGAATCTGCCCCTTATGTTTTAAGCATAAGTGTAATTTGATTTCAAAATGATGGTTGTGAGATTTTGGGGAAGGAAAAATTCAATCTACATTTATCTTGCTTCTTGGTTTTAAGAAACAGAAAGTGAAAATGACAATATACATAAATGAGCAGGGAAGTTCTCTAATTGAATATGTCATTTATGTTGTTGGAATATAAAATAAAATAATTATCAAGAAAATTCTCATATATGATGAACATACATTATATCGGGCTGGAGCGATAGCACAGCGAGTAGGGCATTTGCCTTGCAATGCTGATCCGAATTTGCTTCCTCCGCCCCTCTCTGAGAGCCCGGTAAGCTACCAAGAATATCTCGCCCGCATGGCAAAGCCTGGCAAGCTACCCGTGATGTGTTTGATATGCCAAACACAGTAACATTTGTCACAGTGGAGACGTTACTGGGCCTGCTCGAGCAAATCAATGAACAACAGGAAGACAGTGACAGTGACAGTGACATTGTATCATTTTAGTGCAGTGAAAGCTTATTCATCATTGTAATATTTTAGATTTATTCAGATGTAATTGTCATATAACACTGTATACATTTAAGCTGATCATTTAATACACAGGGATATTTATGAACATTTACATATAGTGGTACCCAGGGGATACCAGGATCACATCCAGAAATGGCCACACAGTGCCAGGGATCAAACTTGGGACCTGTTACATGCTAGCATATGAACCATATTCCTGGCCTCCAGTTTGCTTTAAAATGAACCCTCTGAGGAAGACAAAAAGAGGAAAGGAAGATGCATTGAGTTCAGCTAATAGAATGAATAAATTTTCATTAAATCTAGTTAAAGGTAATTTATAAATATTTTGACTTTAAGTATTTTCTTTAAATAACATGTAACTTTTTATCTGGAATAAGAGAAATACTTGAAAAAATTGAAAAGAACAAATTTTCTGAAGACCATTTGAAGTTTTTAAAAATACTAATTTTGACTTATACCCAAGATTAGTAGAGATGAGTACCAGAGAATTATTCCACGGCTTGGAAGCCGGCCTCACATCCTAGGGGAAAAGGCAGCTCAGATAGAGAAGAGACCATCAGGGAAAGGATGCTTGGAGGGCCCGCTGGAGATGGGAGATGGGAGTTGAAAGTAGACTACAGACCGAACATGATGGCCATTCAATACCTATATTGCAAACCACAACACCCAGAGAGAGAGAGAGAGAGAGAGAGAGAGAGAGAGAGCTAAAGGGAATGCTCTGCCACAGAGGTGGAGTGGGGTGGGGGGATGTGGGGGAGGGATACTGGGATCATTGGTGGTGAAAAATGGGCACTGGTTGGAAGGATGGATATTCGATCATTGTATGACTGAAACGT